GCTCTTATCAGGGCTGTTGTCACCCTTAGTGATGTGGGTATTCCTTGCTCTTATCAGGGCTGTTGTCTCCCGTAGTGAGGTGAGTATTACTTGCTCTTATCAGGGCTGTTGTCTCCCGTAGTGAGGTGGGTATTGCTTGCTCTTATCAGGGCTGTTGTCTCCCGTAGTGAGGTGGGTATTGCTTGCTCTTATCAGGGCTGTTGTCTCCCTTAGTGAGGTGGGTATTCCTTGCTCTTATCAGGGCTGTTGTCTCCCGTAGTGAGGTGAGTATTACTTGCTCTTATCAGGGCTGTTGTCTCTCGTAGTGAGAGGCTGTTGTCTCCCGTAGTGATGTGCGTATTCCTGGCTCTTATCAGGGCTGTTGTCACCCGTAGTGATGTGGGTATTCCTTGCTCTTATCAGGGCTGTTGTCTCCCGTAGTGAGGTGAGTATTACTTGCTCTTATCAGGGCTGTTGTCTCCCGTAGTGAGGTGGGTATTGCTTGCTCTTATAAGGGCTGTTGTCTCCCGTAGTGAGGTGGGTATTGCTTGCTCTTATCAGGGCTGTTGTCTCCCTTAGTGATGTGGGTATTCCTTATTCTTATCAGGGCTGTTGTCTCCCGTAGTGAGGTGAGTATTACTTGCTCTTATCAGGGCTGTTGTCTCTCGTAGTGAGGTGAGTATTACTTGCTCTTATCAGGGCTGTTGTCTCCCGTAGTGAGGTGGGTATTGCTTGCTCTTATCAGGGCTGTTGTCTCCCTTAGTGAGGTGGGTATTGCTTGCTCTTATCAGGGCTGTTGTCTCCCTTACTGATGTGGGTATTCCTTGCTCTTATCAGGGCTGTTGTCTCCCGTAGTGAGGTGAGTATTACTTGCTCTTATCAGGGCTCTTGTCTCCCGTAGTGAGGTGAATATTGCTTGCTCTTATCAGGGCTGTTGTCTCCCATAGTGAGGTGGGTATTGCTTAGTCCTAGCTGTAGTATTAATCCTATATGTTATGGCATCTCTAACTTGACCCCCTTTAAAATTAGTGACCTGCACTCAGAAAAATATATTTCTGTAATCAGTGGATCTACTTAATAAGTTTGAGGTTTGAATGAAAATATCAGAGAAAAGTGTAAGCAAGAACTTGAGTCCTCAGCTATAAAATCTTGTGAGATTTTTTAGATGTCTCATTATTTTACTGATCTTCAATTGAATAAAATTAATGTTGCCCAAGGGATTAGCCCATTTGGCTAACACTCAGTTTGATTAGGGTCATGCTAATAAACATGTTTGAGGTCAGTTGTTTGATTAGGGTCATGCTAATAAACATGTTTGAGGTCAGTTGTTTGATTAGGGTCATGCTAATAAACATGTTTGAGGTCAGGATAATGTAAACACTGATAAACAAATGAGCCAATTACCCCTGACCCCTATTAATCAGGCAATTAAAAATTGTATGTTATTCATTGAACTATTTATATTTAATTACAATCACAGAGCCATCGTTAGGATTACATGAAGTAATGGTAAACTGTTGTTATAAACCGAGCAAAGGAATAAAAGTGAGCAGGGGATGGCACCATTTGTCGGCGCCGGGACATTCCTACGCCTGCCGGGACATTCCTACGCCTGCCGTTTCCTTGACAAAGATATAGAAAAAAATATTTTCAAATGTGATAATTAGCTGATAATGTCAATTGAGAGGTCTTAAAACGTTAAAGATTCCAAAACTTAGACATATTGAGTTTCAGTAGATTGATATAATCTCTCATTTACTAGAAGGGCCACATAAAACCAGTACCACTATGTGTCTGTGTGTAATTACATCTCTGTTTTTTTAATTGGAAGTGTGATGAATGTCCAGCAGCAAATCGTCATGCATCCAGTAAGCGCTCCTCTCCTTGTGCAATGGCCATGAAATCAACCTCTCATTGCCACCAAGCTACTAGTACCCTCCGTTGTATAGTTAAATTAAATTGACCATGTGGAGTGGCTAGAAGTGTGTCATTGAGGAGCACATCAGTACCATCAATGTAATGGTTGATGGCAAAGCATCTCCCGGGGAAGCTGCGATTTCTTCTGTGGAACCTTCAGAGCGATGTTAATAAAACTGTTACATTAGGGTAATCAACCTATGGCAGGGACTAAGTGTTTATTAATCAGGTTGTGTTCAACTAGTGCGATATATCTAGGAGCTGATTGGAAGCTAGATAAGTTTAAACTCAAGACTAAAGAAATGCCAGGGAAAATGTGATCAATGAGAATGTCAACACAACAATGCCTAAAGTAAATGTTAACTTACTGGGATTAAATAAACCAGGATGTTTAAAAAAAAAATTTTGCTCTCTCAACCAGGATCGTTTGTGTTTTTGTTTTAAAAGGAACATTAGAAACAAAAACATGATGTCACTTTTATGAAAAAAACTCTCTGCACAGTATGCGCCTTTGATGATAACAGGAAATATAGCATTTCTTTACCTTCATATTAACACTATGCACCTTTGAGGATAACAGGAAATATAGCATTTCTTTACCTTTGTATTAACACTATTGCACCTTTGAGGATAACAGGAAATATAGCATTTCTTTACCTTTGTCTTAACACTATTGCACCTTTTAGGATAACTGGAAATATAGCATTTCTTTACCTTTGTCTTAACACTATTGCACCTTTTAGGATAACTGGAAATATAGCCTTTCTTTACCTTCATGTTTACACTATGCACCTTTGATGATAACAGGAAATATAGAATTTCATTCTGAGTTGTTTTTTTAAATCATTCCTTACTGTAAGTTGAATTTGTACCCTGTTATCCTATTTTGCACCTTTTATCCTCCATGACCTGAGCTACTTTCTAACCTTTGTATTTCTTTCCCTAGGTGGACATGGCTTTCATCAAAAAAGAATTCCAGACCCTGTATGGCAAATCCTTGGCCAGTTTCATTGATGGGGACACCAGTGGTGACTACAAGAAATTGCTGATGGCCATTGTGGGGAAATAGATCCATTGAAGACCACTCACATCATAATAGTGAAATTTTTCACCAAAAGATAACATTTATCTTACAATGCTTAAATAGTGAAATGTATTACCTCTCATCATTAAAATATTCAGATGCTGCCTTTTTTGTATTTAATTTTTGTTAAGAGAACGAACTCGCCTTATTGTGGCTTTGATTACATCAATATTATGTCTCATTTATTTTACTATATTTATAACGGGATATAGAACTTGAATTTTTTTTATATTTTTTTTTGAAAAAAAAGATCCATAACACATACCACTACCACTGTATGGTGTGATTTAAATAAAAATGTAGGTAGAGTAATGCTAATTATTTTTAAAACATAAAAATATATTCTTGCCAGTTTTGTTAATGTCATTTGAATTTTTTTATTAATTCTCTAGTTTTGCTTTGAAACACTGATCTACTGTTAATTGTTGTTTCATAAATTCGGAACAATGCTTTTTAAGTATTTCTTTACCACTTACACTCAGCCCCTGCCCTCAAGCTATTATATGTAATATAGTAAAACGGCAGACAATAAATTCTTTAATTATATTAACTGTAAGTCCCACAGATTATTTGTTATGGAATTCATAAACATAAAATTTAAAGTACACCGTATATACACGTATAAGTCTAGAAAGTTTAATTGTAAACTTATCCACGGGTCAGGGCTAGTTTCAATAGAATTTTGTACATAGAATGCGGTCAATATGGAGTTATCGGTTGTACTAGTGTGCTTACCGGTAGCTGTATGTTGACCCTGATACCAGGTACACACATGGAGATTTAGTTACAAGCATCTAAGTCTGGGTTCAATAATACACCAGCCATAGTTCAGTATACAGTGCAGAGATGGCTGCTTGGTGAAATCTGACAAATTTATCCAAATCACAGACTTCCAATAACTTGCATAGCCCCGAAGATTTACCCTCAACTTATCCAGGAGTCGTAGCATATTTCATAATTGTTGGTAAAAAAAAACCAAAAAAAACACACACCCTTGACTTAAAGACGAGTAAGTAAGTGACTATAGAGGAGTAAGTAAGTATGGTACTGACATTTTTGTTTTTTTTCCTTTCATTACTGAATTTTGGGTTGGCATTAAATAAATTTTTTGATGTGATCATTACCAGACTTGGCAAACATTATTTGTTAAGCATGATGCAGAGTCTTGTTTATAATTATGATATTGTTACTTGGTTTGTTACAGAAAGGAGCAATAGAAATTTACATTGTGGATGAAACATTTTGTTTATCTGGTGAAATGTGTGTTTTTTCTCTTATTAAATGTAGAGCCAGATAATATCTTTTATAAATTCCATTCAATTTTTTATAGAATGTTTACATGTAAATGAATGTGATTGTATTAAAAATCTTTATATTTTAAATCTTTATAAATTTTTATTTTTACATTTTTTTTATTTATAATTAAGTTTATACTGCAGAATTATTTAAGCACCATCATTGTTAGCATCACATTTTTTATTTACGATACTGTAATATCTTGTACCCAATGTTTTTTGTGTCTACAGTACAGAACCATTAGGTTGTTGTAAGAATACTTTTAACGCTGTATACTTCAATTTAATTAAGCATGTTGAAATTAATACTGTGTCCCTAAATACGATTTCATAAAACCATTTTTAACAAATATAAGAAAGAGTACATTCAGCCCACTCAATTTTTGTGTATACAATCCAGAGAAAAAAAACTACAAGACTTTAAGATCTGTAAAAATGCATGACATTGCAAATATGCTCTTTGTGTGACTTCGTTATATCTGTATTGTGATTATTCTAAAAGAATAGCTAACATGTCATTATTTTATGATGACTGTCAAATTTGACAGGTGATGGGACACGGCAACTGCACCATTAATGGTAATTGTTGATGTGCAGATTTCATGTGGATGTGAATGATTTAATGGCCAAGCTAGTAAATATGCAAGCTATAACACTATGAAATCTGCATAAAAGATACATTTTTTAAAATCTTTGTAACTCTTAGTAAATGTGCCTGCTTCAAATATTTAGATGGCCACAGTTCATTTCTTTTCTCTTTTTGGTCTAGTTTATGCTTTTTTTAAACTTTATGTCACTTTGAGCAGCAGAAACATTTCGACACAAATTTCAGTTTTTATTTCACAACAAAAATACATAATTTTTTATAATCTTTGTTTTCTCCAAAATATATAGTTTTCCATAAAAAACTATTGTATGTGTTTGTCAAAACGAACCACAGCTTATAATTATTATTATTTGAAATAACCAATAACTAGCATTAAAGAAGACATTTGACATTTAATATGACAACATGCATTAGTGAATAAGTCATTAATTACAAATTTGGGGAGGGTACGGAACACAATAAGGTTGTAAAATTTGAAGAATATTCAGTTCAGCAATAGATTTTTAGATGAGATGATCGTATCATGGGCTGAGAGCATATCTAATTAGTTATAAACTTAGTTGCATCCTACGAGTATTTAGAAAAACCCAACATTAAAATATCTATTTCCGTTTTGATTTACAATTCAGCTGATACCAGATTTTATCAAGATGATTAAAGCCACACAAAAATTACTGATACCTTCCAATGTTAACTTTTTTTTTTCTTTAACCTATTTACCGGTATACTAACTTTGTTAATAACTATGGCTTTTTTCATTTGTAATACTTCTTTTCATGACTGATGCCTTTGTACAAAAAAATGACTTCTCTTAATGTGAGCTCAAATTCCTCTAATGCACCGAAAATGTTGACAGATAAAATTTACCATAGACTGATTAAGGATAAAACGTACTAGTGGTACCATAATAAGTATAAAAATTGGTAAAAAACTAAAATCGTTAATTAGAAATAGATGAGATATATACAACAATGATTAGTAGTTTGAGATGTTCACAATTTGTCTCGCATAAGAAGTACCAAGTCCATACATTTTTTTTAAAAGAGAAGAAGGTGGTCAAGGCAGATAATGTTATCTTTGATAACAAAGTGTAACATTTCTTTTTATTATGACAAAAATACCTATATGAATGATAATGATTTAATTTTTAAATGCCATTAACATTTGCTTCAGAAAGAAATCAGAATAACTGTTATGGAATTTTATTTATCTCATGGCTCATACGTTTTTTTAAAAGTCTAACATATCTAGACCAGGGGTCTCAAACTCAAATCATCCTGGGGCTGCAGGAGGTGGAGTCTGATTGAGACTGGGCCGCATCAAGTATTCCACAAAAAAAAGCAATTACAAATTCATTAAAGTACCACTGTTAAATCTGCTCAACCTTTATTAATAACAAATAAAAAAATTAAGGGTTCTCTAGAACTAAGCTTCACTTTCTTCCTCCTACTCATTGTTGCCAGAGATCTGGCAGCGCTTCTTCTTACACAGCTGAGCAACTTTGGCTTGAGTGAGGAAGCAACTGAGACCCTCAGTATAGCTTGAAGATGCTCATCAAGTTTGGCCTTGAACTTTGACCTGTTCAAGTTCGTAATAGTGGAAAAGAGCTTTTCCACTGACAGGAACTCCCAAAAAGTCATGTGATCCTCTTGAACAAACTGGAAATCTCGGTGGAGGGCAATGCTCTCATAAAATGTCCCTGCTTTTCTGTTTTTCTATTCACCTCCCTGAACTTAGAATTGTACTGAAGATCAATCGGCTACATTTTAAGGGGAAAAGTGGGGGATAGTTTAAACAAGACAGGGTTAGCAAAAAGTGGCTGTTTGTGTTTTGAAGTCTAAAAAAGGTGATCAAATTCTTCTGGTAGCTTTGCAATGGCATCAGTCTACTTACTACTAAGTTACTACTGAATTGTGTGCCTGAGTCCAGGGAGTACTTTGCATGTTGGGAAATGGCAGAGGTTTCTTTAAGAACCATAACAAAGTTTTGTGCAGAATGCCCTGACATTGTCATAGGCAACACTGACAAGCTACCCCTGGTCTTGTAACTTCTTGTTGAGTACATTCAGCTCCTGTGTAATGTCAACAAGAAAAACCAAGTCCATGAGGGATCACTTGCTACAGGAACAACCACCCCTATCCTTCTCCATGAAGGCTAAAACGTGTCAAGCAGGAGCATGCCATATTTATGAATTATTGATGCGAAGAAATAAGCTATTGTAGGGAGAATGAATTTTGATTTTTGACTAACCCTCTTTTGAAAGTGATGAAGCTGACAGGCTCGGAATTTCCCTGACTCGTAAACACTAGCAGCAATTTTCATAGGGATTCTTTGATACTGTATCTGACTGCTATGAGTTACACAATTATGGCTGTGCATTACCCACCAACTGACTTTTTAAAACTTTTCTCAAAACCGAACTTTGGCCATGTTTGTCTCATAAAATGCTATGAAATAAAAACTTTTAGTTCGATTTTAAAATGGTCTTTACCATTATAATCAACATACAAAATATATACAAACATAATAAAAAAAGAGAATTAGACTAGAGAGATTCGACTGAAACCGTCGTGGGGGGGTCACATTAAAGATAAGAAAATGGGGAAAACGTGTGGGCCGCATTAACACTAAACTTTGCTGTCATGCAGCAGGCTGCAAATGGCCCGCGAGTTTGAAACCCCTGATCTAGGCTAACATTAAAATAAATGGTAACACTTAAAAAAAACACATTATTTTTAACCCCATCAAATAACCACTGATATATATTGGATATCTGATGTTATATTAAACAGAGTAGGTTCTTTAAAAGATGGGATTCAACCTGTGACTGAATCTATAAGACCTCTATTAATAATACTGAAGTCAACAAATTTAGGTGTTAAAAAAGTCTATGACTGCATCTAGGGGGATAACAAATTCAGCTGTTAAAGTCTAAGACTGCTTCTAGGAGGACATAAATTTGTCCCTGGTATTTTTAACTCTTACCTGATTTTGAATCAGTTTTTCTATCAATTAAAATAATTCTTGCATAAGTCACTCCACAATAATAAAGAATTCATTTGTAGTGTCTCCCAACCTTAATCTTGTTCAACACAATTGAAATCACCTGATATAGCACATTGTGGATACACATTTTATCAAACTGGAAATTGATTTCTAAAATAACTGTTACGTTTAGCTTTTATGGGGAGAATGAAGCCAGAGGCACACTCGGGGTAATATCACAATACCAGATCACCCTTAGCAAAAAAATCATCGGATTAAACATAAGTTCACATTCAATATGAATGTTTAATTAGGAGACCACTGGTCATTGATGCCCATTTTTTTAAAAATCAATCTCCTTAGCCTTGTTCTGCTATTGTCCCAGTTGCTAAGGTCAAGCAGTGCAATACCACAGCCATCTGTAATGGAGATAACAGTGGTTACCAGCACTTAATATGCCATATTTAATCTTGCTGTGAGAGGTGAGCTACACCTGGCTGCTCAAGTCGACCTAAAGCAGGTGAGCCTGTGTTTTGAGTTCAACTTTGTAGAGATCACTGCAAATATGTGGCAAGGAAATTTTTTTTTTGTTTTGGCTAAAAATATCATATTGTTTGGCTTAATGGACATGCCTCTTGGTTGATTGTGAATATGGATCATTACTTCTCTCCGACAACATTTTCTTCAGATTTCCTTGCACTTCCAAAGACTGGTGCACATAATTAATCTTTTTACATTGCTGCTCACGACTTGTCTATGGCTCCATTCACTGATCCTGTATGGTCATGCCATCCTCCTCTTGCCCTTGCACAACTTCACGGTCAACAAGCCCATCTTTATCTTGCCTTCGGCCTTTCTTGGACACAGCCTGCTGCTTGACCGTAGTAAAACTTCTCTCTCTTTTCCTACAGAGAAAACATCCGAAAATGATTGTAATCAATATGATACAGATGACTGGTAGAACACCGAAAAGGCAAATCCATAAAACAAGACGAATTTGACACTGTGTGTACACGAGCGTCTCTTCAAACCTGTCCTTAAATTCATCGAATCTCATGACGAGGTCTTTATTCGACAGCCATGGAAGTTCAAACTGACAAATGAAAAAGGCTCCAGAGTGGCACTTGTTTTCCGCATAGCGGGTGTCAAAATGGGTGCGTGTGAGTGAGCCATTAACAAATATGCCAAGGTCACTGTCATGTTTGTGGGTCCTCCCATAGTAAACAATGAAGAAGTAATAATCATTGACTGTAACCGTGTCATTCAGCCAGCCCATTCTCCTGTCATCGTGATGATCACCACATTTAGGGATGGAGACACGTTTGCGTGTGCAGTCACGACAAAATCTGCTTTTCCGCCACTGCCGAAAGTTATCTGATCCTGATAAAATTTATAAATTATAAATAAACTTAGTAAATTTAAATAATTTCTCATAAAAAATTACATTAAAACTATTATAAAAATTACATTACCACTATTATAAAAAATTAGATTAAGACTAATCAAATACTAATTACAGAAGTAGAGGCAGTTTTCAAAAACTCTGAACATGGCAAACAACAGACAAGGTTTTAAATTTTTTTTAGAAAAGTATATTATGCATGTCAGTTAATCAATAATTCAACAGAATTGATTAAATTGCATTTATGGAGTTCACTCTTAAAATGAAATACCAGTACCAAAAAAAAATTGCTTGATTATTCTTTATAAAATAGCCCCAGCACAAAATCATTTCTGCTGTAATCTTGATCAATTAACTAACACATTACCTTGTAGGAAAACAATCTCAGACTCGGAGCCTCCTTTGCCATAAAAATCCTCCTTGCCGCACGCGTAGACATTAATGGCAGAGCTGTCCAACATGTAAAAGCTTCTATAGCTGTACTCTCGACCTGGAAGTTGATGGATGGAGATGGCCACTACATCTTTATCGGTTGTGTTTACTTCAGCATGTTGGGACAGGAAATAGAGGGTTACTGGTGCTCTTGACGTAACCTGATCATGGATACAATTACAATATGCAGCAAATTGAATCAAAAATTTTACAATCAAGTGAGTTTGCTCTTCAATTTGTAGGAACTATGTACAAGGCCTATAGAATAGCTCATGCCATGCAAAGGTCATATTCTTACTGCATCCAGCCACAGTTATTTAACACATCTTCCCCAACCATTGCAATCCCTGTTTCCAAAATAATAGAATTCTTAATCAATCTTAACAATTTATTTAGATTTCATTAAAACAAATGCATTTCTAAAAAAAAATAACAACTAGGTGATGATCTTAATAAACATCTAATGATAGTCATTTATATTCAAATCTTGAAAATTAGTACATGGGAATTACTTCTTAGTAGACTATTTTCAAATCAAAATTAAAGGTCCTTGTTATTGTTACTCTCCATGTTATATTTTAAGCTTCTGTACATCTAGTACCTAATATTCCCTTCATTTGAGATAAGTTAGTTGCTATAACAACCCAAGATTTTCTTATTTTCTTTCTGAGGCACCCAGTCTTAATTTAAAATACCTTCAAACTAGGTTCACACTAGAGTCTTTAAACTGAAGGCAAACGTAGCATTAAGTTGTTTTACTTTATTATATTTTTGTTTAGTTTTAGTTCAAACAGAGTGAGAAGTTAAGTAAAAGTAAATGATCCTGTGAGAGTTAAGTAAAAGTAAATGTTCCTGTGGCTTGGTACTCTTGAGTGTCAAACCCTAGTTTCAGTGGAGCTTAAGAACGATGCAAAACGACACAGCAGCCTAATTGTTGGATTTTTCAAAAATTAAATAAAAATGTTATGTAAACACGAGCAAACCTTATAGGCATGACAAAATATGGCTGACAGATCACTGGACACCTCTTTAATGGACACCTCATCACTGGTCTGAAGGGTCAGAGAGTTGTTGCTGAAACGGTGTTCATAAACATTCCACGCTGACATGCCGAAGATTGTAAACACAAGAAGTGTGACCCCAAGAGTCAGGCCCAAGCACAGAACTGGTCGTCTGGATTCTGTGTCCACACGGCGGTGCGATGGAGGCACCAAGGGCGGGCGAAATCCTTTTGCCATTTTAGTATTTTCTTTAAGTTTTCTGTAAAAACAAATGAGAACACTAGAAATACAAATAGAAGCATTTAACAGATTATAAATCTTAGTACTCATTTAACAGATTAGAAATCTTAGTACTCATTTAACAGATTATAAATCTCAGTACTCATTTAACAGATTAGAAATCTTAGTACTGTCATAAGCGTTGCTCTCCTCTTTACATTAAATATCTACTTTGGGCATTCCTTATCCGTATCCTTATAAAATTATTAATTAAATTAAATGGAGACTTTACAACGTCATTTTGATATAAAAATGCTAAAGTAGCTATAGCACTTCAACAAATGTTCCCACCGCACATCAAAATGCAAAAATAATTTACATGAATTTAATTTTTATTGTCATGATGGTCAACGTCTCTTTTTTTAAAAAAAGTCTTAGGACACAAACGTAAAGTTAATTAATATTTATAATTTTTTGTTTTGGTAATTTTTTCAAGACTTCTAACATATAGTTTCAGTGTTGGGACGCAAGCTTGAAAACATCATTTTCAGTTACCAGCACTGAAAGTCTTTCAAAATAATGTTTTTATATTTAACACAACATCACAGACTGCCTTTTCTGCTCTAGATTAATGCGTTGAGAAAGTCTTTCTTGATAAAATAGAACTTTTTCTAAGTCTTTGTATATTTGAGAAATGAAATAAATATATTTATTAATTTTTTCAGTAAAATATATAAAGAAATAAAGACCATAACTGCTAACAGTTCATTTAACCATTTAAACATGGTCAAGGAATGCAGCAACAATTTAATATTTAAGTTTTATTTCAATTCCTTAAAAAGTTAATAATAAATAAGAAATTAAAATTCTCGTAGAACTCCCAGAAAGGAATGGGTCTTTTTTTTAAATAGAAATTTCAAGTTGAAGCAACTTTAAAATTTGTGTAGACATAATTATAAATTATAAAATACATACTAAACTTTTAAATGACAAAGCAGAATTCTCAAAAGAATCTCTGTAAAAATCACATTCACGAATACAGAAAACATTTAACTGTCATGGAGTCATGGTGGTAGTCCAGCCCACTTATTTAAAACAAAGCTTTAAAAGTTTCAGCCTTATGACTCTTTATGCTATCTCGTCTAAAATCCAGTAATGCTATCTTTAGTCTATCAGTGACAACAACAACACAGGGAGAAACAATCAATGATATCACAGATAAAATTTATCAGCAGTAGTCAGTAGGATTTACCTCAGCACAAAAATTATCAGTGTTGATAAATTATTTACTACTGTAATTACTTTAATTTTAATGGGAAAAAATATCTTTATTTCAGAGGTTGAACATTTAAATAAGATTTTCCTTTAAATTAAAATAAATTAAGTATAAAAGACAAGATTAATTGACAAGTAAAAATAGAAATGAAAATGCTTCATCAAAATCATTGACAAGAACTTCAAAATCAAAATTAAAAGCTTGAAATTGAAATTGAAAATGTTAATATTGTCAAATTTTTTGTATTTGGGGGGAGGGGGGGGGGGGGGGATCAGATCCGTCTGTGGAGGCCCATGGTCATAGTGTTGGCCGTGAACTAGAAGAGGAGGGGAAGATACAATTCAACCACAAGAGTTGTAAATAAAATGGGCAATAGTGTAAATGCAGACAATTGGTGCCATGAGCCATGAGCCGCATCTTGGTTTCCACGACCCACGAACTTTTATAATTCACTGTCACTAAAAACTAAACCTAACCTGAACCCTAAATCATATGAGACGTATCCCTTTTTAAAATTCCCTAAACTAAAGTAAAAAGTTTAAACCTAACCTGAACACTGACTAAGCCTTAAATGACTTGACTTAAATGTATCCTTAAGCCTTAATGATTAATGGCACCAATTCTCTGCATTAGCTGTAAATAGTAGTACTAGTACTAGTCTAGTAGCAGTAGAAAAAGAGAAGAGTAGTTTAGTTGTACTTCACTAGACTTTAGATTAGTCTTTCTTTAGTCTAGTAAGTTTACTTTCACTTTCAGTGTCAGCGAGTGGCCAAACTTTCAGACTTTCGCACTCATTCATAACTTATTACTACCTCATTTTATTTTGTTGTAAAGACGCTAATTATTTTTTTAAACAAAGCACTAGTAATCTTCCATTTATTTTATTAAAAAGTCCTTACCGTGTTTGAATCTCCTTTATATTATTGACTCATACAACTTATACTATTAGTAATAGTTTACAACTACGCCATTTTTACTAACTGCAAACACTTCGGCGGTGTACCTAGCAAAACCATGGACTTTGGCCTACGTATACTGCCGCGGTGTACGTAGCAAAACAATAGTAGCCTGAGTAGCTATACATGGAGAACGCAATTTGGATTACCGAAATATCTTATATGTTTTTGTAAGGGATGAAAGAATTAGAATGGGTATTCTCGTATGTATTAATGTTGCGTTTTGTATTTAAATGTTCAATGTTGTATAATATAGATTTTTTTTTCTTCTCTTTTAATAGGGTTGACTTTGAACCACGCTTCGAGCTTTGGGGATGAAGCGTGATTTTCAAATAAACTTTATTATTATTATTATTATTATTATTATTATTATAGTTTTCATTTTAAAAACATTTAAATGGTTTACTAAATTGAAACTTATGCGGTGACAATGATTACTTCAATGTGGCTTTGATTTTATTTTAAACATTTAAAAGTATCTTATTTTATTAAGGCTAATTGTCCAGCTGAGGATTACAAAAACGAAGTGATTATTCACAGAGCTGTGCGGATAACGCTCGCCGTTATTCACAGATTTCGGTCTGCCGATAACGCTAAACGTTATTCACAGAATGTGATACATTAAATAATGAATATAAAATACAAAGTTCATATTTACACATCTCCTCGGTAGTGTAGTGGTCAGTATCTCCGACCGTCACCCAGCAGACATTGTATCATAGGTTCGATTCCCCGTCGGGGAAGTTTCATTTTTATA